TTTATGGGGTAGGGGTGTTCAACTCTTTTCAAACATCCAGAAGCCTAAATTGCCCTTTTTAAAAAATGTTTTTATTTCACATTTATTTTGTTTTGGCTATTGTGATGTTTGTAAAATGATTAATTTACAAAAGGATTAAGTCTTGTGATTAGGTTTTCTCCTATTTGCCCTGTTCTTTTTTAAGTAAATGTTCCTATAATTTTAGCTGTGACTCTGCAGGAACATCTAGTACAGTATTTATTTTAACAAACTCTCTAAATGCATCTTGAAGAACACAAACCTCTCACCCTTATATATCAGGTTTCTCTTGACTACACATGCAATTAATTCTACTTGAATTTAAAATAACTAAACCTCCTATTAGATACCTGAGAGTAAGAGTTTCTTAAAACCCATGCTTTAGCTGTGATAAATGGGGATCCAGAAGAAAATCTTTTTCTGCTGTTCTTAATATTAACTATAATCCTTTTCCTGAGGTAAATAGTAGAGATCCAACGCTATTTGGATGTATGGTGGACAGGAGAAGCTGAATTAATCACACAGAGGTTTGTTTCTATGGTAGGAGCTCAAATAAACTAAAAATATTGCATTATACAGAAGCATCTGCATCATACCTATCAGAATCTATTTTGCCATTTCATTCCATCCTCTTATAGAGGTCATAGAGTTTATCTATCCATCTGTCTATCTTTTTGTATACCTGTATAAATATGTTTGTGTATATAGTAATACGAAAATATAAATAATGTGAGTGGCCCAACCCCAATAAGAATATTTAAATACGATGAACCGTTTGTTTGTATTCAGAAAAAACAAACAAATGTGAAAATATGTTAAATATTCAGTGTGTTAAAGGCAATTAAAATTGATTCTGTGCCTGCTCAACACAGTACACTGAGTGGAGCTATTGACCGACCCAAGATGGATCCACCAAATGCCGTCAGCAACCATAGTGTGTCGCAGTGAGCTTGTCGCAGGTATGACGCAGATGTTTTTGATTTATGCAAGAGGGAAAATCAGGAACTAGCTGTGGGTCTAGATACGCCCGAGGTGGGGAGGAAGTGGGGGCAAGTTTGTGCGACAACGGAAGGACATGAGGGTGAAAAATAACGGGGATGCAGGTGGAAAACTGGTCCCAGCATTCTCGCTGGTCCATCTTAATGAGTCGTTTTCCACAATGGCGGTCATATAAACAAAACAAGCTGGTAAGGTACCAAACAAGAGACACATAGTGTGGAGCGGATGTAGATTTGATCAATCAGAGGCCTCCTGTCTGCGGTCACCTACAATTGGGGAGAGGTGCAGCAGAGTGTCTGTGTAAATGGCAGGGACGTCTCTGCATTCAGTGCGACACACACGCAGACGACCTAGTTCCGAAGTATAAATCAGCCTTATGCTTCTCCTGTTTGGTACCTCACCGGCACCAAACCAGATCAGGCTTCAATATTGAGCATAGATCAAAAATGATTGCATCATACCTGCGACAAGCTCACTGCGACACACTATCCAGCCCTATAGTGTGGAGCAGATGTAGATTTCACCAATCAGAGGCCTCCTGTCTGCGGCACTGTCTGCGGTTACCTACAGTTTTGGAGAGGTGCACCAGAGTGTGTGCGGAAGGGGTGGGGACATCTCTGCATTCACCACGACAGACACACAGACGACCTGGTTTCAAAGTATAAATCCGCCTTTATGTTATGTGTATGAGCTAGAGAGCCCATCCTGACGTCAGCATACTCTGTCCTGTGATTGGTCTATTAGAGCAAAATTTTTACAGCCTATTTAAACTAGCAACAATCTGCAATTTAGATTCACTCTTAAAAGTTTTTCTGGCCTCAATGGCTGATAAAAAATGGAGATACTAAGACGTCCTGCACAAAGAAAGAAGGATTTATTTTGTTTATAAATAATCAGCATTTCTGTTGAGCGTGATATCTTTCAGCTTTATGCTTTATGATGTATTTATCTAGTAATTAGAAGCATATGGAATCTAAATTGCTATTTGATGATGTAAATGTTCCAGACCTGTAGTTATAGAGTACAGTATTGTGGTTGTCTGAACTGGGCTTCTTGCTTAATGGACCTTGGTATTCACCCTCATAGTAATCTTTTTTAGAGTTGCACCTGCGCTTGCTATATTTGATATTTGAAAACTGTTGGTGACTTCTTTTATTAAAATGTGAAAGTAGGCTCAGTGTGAGCAGCAATCTGCCGAGGCTGACTGGGGTTCAAGTAGACAGAAGCAGAGATACAAACTGCAACTGTCAACCAGCTCCAAAGGCGGCTTTGTCCAGGAAACACACAGCCAGGCAGACGGGCTCCGAGCCAGCTCCCATGTCAGAGGATGAAGAGAGCACATCCAGTTAGTCACAATCAGGACTAAATGAAAAACAGGCAGCGCTCGAACATCTATAAACAAAGGTTTTGATGGCAGCAACACAGTTGATATTTCTCTCCAGAATGGAGTAGCAGCCAAACAGGAGCAGTAACAGCCACTCTAACTATAAGCTTTATTAAAAACAAAAGTTTTAAGCCTAGCCTTAAAAGTAGACAGGGTGTCTGCCTCATGGACTAAAACTGGTAGTTGGTTCCACAGGAGAGGAGCCTGATAACTAAAAGATCTGCCTCCCATTCTACTTTTAGAAATTCTAGGAACCACTAGTAAACTTTCAAATTCAGAGCTTCATATCTTTGATATAAGATGGAGCTTGGCCATTTAAGGCTTTATATGTGAGATGGAAGATTTTAAATTCT